AAGTAACTGGTCTACAATTTTACGGAGAGCTTCCTTCTTTTCTCTTGGCATTTTAAAGGGTGGAACCGCAATCGGGGTCTGTCCAGGTTCAGTATTAATGATGTGTTCCGCATAAGGAGTGGGGTCTCCCCCTGGTTTGAAGATGTCTTCATTTTGGGACAACGTTTTCTTTAATTGGTGTCTCTCTTCTTCATTTAAACTACTACCTTCATCACTTCTCAGAGTTACTGTTTGGGCCATTGACAAATTCAGTTCATTATTGTGATTTACATCACTCACGAACTCGTACACGTGTTTCTGGTCATGTCGGAAATACCAAACTTCTTGACCGGGATCGATTACAATGTCTGCTTTAGTTAAGAAATCGATTCCTAGCAACGTATGATTGTCATGTTCTGTAGGCAACACCAAAAGTTCAACATTGACGATTTTATTTCTTATTTTAATGTTTACCGCCGTAACAAGTACATTAACACTTTTCGCGTAACCATCCGCGAGGGTTAACGTCATTGTTCGCGAATCAAACGAGCACTTGTCTTTTAGTAATTCGTACAGGTTTCTACCAGCTATGGATTTTGTAGCACCAGTGTCTGCGTAGGCTCTTCCTTGCATGCCTAAAATTTCAATTGGCAAAACTGGTCTATGAGCTGAAGTTTCGTTCTCAGATTGCACGACCTCAGTACCATAAAACGCTGCAGAATTAACTTGTGTGTTTGTATTGGGTTTGGATGTAGATTTGCACTTTGAACACTGTGATCTTATTACACCGGGTGTTCCACAACCGTAGCACGTTATTACCGGACGATTTAACACAGGTTCAGTGTGATCACTTCTTTCAGTTTCTAACTTCTTTTCGTCTCGTTTCGTTTTATTACGACACTCTGCGGCTATGTGTCCAAAATTTTTACAAAAATTACATCGAAAGCGCTTGTGAACTTTTGTTTTTGATGACAACTCTGTTTGTAGCGCTTTCACCTTATTTTCGACGCACTCATCTTCTTCTAATGACATTTCAATCGAACGTGCACTTTTTAAAAGCTCATCATATGTCGAAAATGTATCGCGTGGTCCAATTCTGCACATTGCGGTAACTTATACGGTAAATTAGATAACAACGCGCGAGCGTTATAAACGAAAAGGTCTGTTAATGTTGAATCTGGTTGTTCTTTAGCGAAGAGCTCTCTGTATACACGAAATGCTGGTTTCTTTGGACCAAATACATCACGTAAAATGGTAATTGCATCATCCCATGAAGCTACTGAGGCCTTAACACCTTGCCACCACGTTGCTGCTAGGTGGGAGAACTGTATCAGGATAATATTTCATAAAACATTCTTTCAAGGCCACTGCATTTATCGATTTGTTTTTTCCTGCAAATCTTTGTAGTATTCCGTTCATCAAATCCTTGTCAACCATTTTAATTTTTTGTTTTTTTGCAAACACATCGAAATCTTGTCGAGGCATATCAACTTTATCAGGTAGGGAAAGGACAACATGCCTTTTAAATGTTCATGCAAGTTATTATTAACTTAAAGAAGGATTTATATTTATACTCAAAAAGAAGTAATTAATACTAACCCAAAATTTCTTTGTTTCTTTTTCTTTTTCGGTTTCAAACATAAGAATATTGCTCTTTGAAACATAAGTTTCATTTCATCTGGACCACGAATTACGTAATTACTGTATATTCCTGCGAAATTTATTAATTTATCTTGAAGTTTAATCTTATTCCAAATCTAATAAATTGTGTACTTATAAAAATAAATTCGCTTTTTCGATAAACGGTACAATACTTACTCGTTGTTATGTTATCTACATACAAACAAACTAAGATTCTTACCGGTATAAATGATTTTTCGACAAACACGTTTTCCAAATCGAGAAACTTAATACTTTTTCCGTCGGCCAGGGCTTTTCCAAGAGTTACTGCATCATCGGGATTTATTGGATTGTTTCCTAATTTTGCGGCTAACAAGGATTTACTTCTTCTAAGAGCTATTCGTATTTTCTTTAATGGTGGTCCTGTCAATCTACGCTTGTGTTTATGTGTTATTATTTTTATTTTAATAAATTGCTTGTAAGTATAATAACCTGTTACTATTTAAATCAAGAAATTGCAACGACTGCGACTTTTTCACGTATTTAGCAAGATGTTTAGTGCAATCCACTGAACTTATCGCGTTCCATGCCAAATTTAAAGATTGCAGAATTTTATTTTCCAGNGATGGTATCCCACTCCGCAGCAGCGGAGCTATTCGCACACTTGCGCTCACAAATTTAACATAGCGTACGCGTTCCAGTATCTGTAGTCTAGTTCAATGGAAAATACATATGCCCAACAAGGAACTAAACCAAACCTTTTTAACCAAAAAATGAATATCCATAGATAAGGATTTGTCATAAACATTTTAGAAATATTAATGGTGATTATTATCAATGGTGGTTGTCATTGATTGTAACATGATTATAACCTTAATTAAAAGTATGCGAATTTGTCGCATGTTTAAAATATATAAAAATGAAAAGTTAAAAAGTTTTCTAAGTATATTTGTGTCGTCACAACAAAATGCAGTCTCTTTTAATAAGAACATTGATACTGTTGTTGCTGAGCGAAGCAATCATTTGCTAAGACATACATTTACAAGCCGGCTCTTGCTATATTTACGTAACGTAAATGATAGGAACTTTAAGAAATATAAACGAGTACTTAATCAAAAACCTGCCCTTACAGCCGTAGTTTTGAATGAATCGTTAAAATTGAAAACAAACGATCTAACAGTTACAGATATTACAAATGCTATTTTGAAGTTAAAACTCAACTCTAAACAGATGTTAAACGCTATGGATGTTCTTTGTTCTTCATATGTAAAAGACTTAACTACAGAAGAACAGTTTTACATTCTGTATACATTTATAAATGTAATATCAAATCGAGTTACCCATTTGAAGTTTTATCAGGCAGCAATACATCACATCCAAGAGGATATAAAATTCATTAAGAAAAGTGATTTGCTACAATTGATATTCTTTATAGGTTTGAATAAAAAAAGTAACAAACCTACAATGAAAAAGTGTTTGAAGCAGCTTTATAAAATGGAAATAATCAAAGAATTAAATGTAAATGAATTGTGTATTGTTTGTCATGCAGCATTCAAAACGAGTACTAAAATTAGAAATGAAGAATTACTAGATAAAGTAAAAGAAACAATAAATAATAATTTAACAATCTTAAAAGATCCGGCACTATTTGTCACCTTTATTAAAACACTAAGGCACAATCAGTTTCAAGATGATGATATCCTGAGTACAATTACATATACAATTTTATTTAATAAAACAATAGATTGTTATTCATTTGTTGAAATTTGTCACATTTTAGCTTTATATTCTGACTATATGTATTATGAGCAACCGATTTTAAAAGTATGTGTAGAAACTGGTATAAGACAACTGAAAGAATATGATAAAAACATTGACAAAGTGATTCGTATGAAAGACATTAAACGTTTTTTATGGGCAGTAAGTTACATAGGATATGATAAATTTGATTCAAGTTGGTGTAGAAATGTAATAGTTCCTAGAATAATACAAAAGATTAAGAATAGGGAATACAAATGTGATACAGAATCAATTGTAGAATGTATTTTATATTTATGGATGTTGGATTGTAAAGCTGTTGAATTGTTTCCATATGTTCTTACACCAACAAGTGTTCAGCAAATAAGAGGTAATTATTAATTTTAGAAAACCTGTTTGTTTCTATTTTTAACATACAATTTCAGAACAAAAGTCTAGATGCAAATACAGATTAAACTTACTTTTATCTGCAATACAGTTTGAAGACAGGGAGATGTATAAAAATTTAAATATAAAGCCCCAAGGAGAAGATTATGATTTAAATTATCAAATACAAAACAGACCAGTGTTACTGCGAATCCACGAAAATTTGAAGCTTTTATCAAAAACATCATCACTTAATGTTTTTGAAATAAATTTTCAAATTCCTTATTTAAATATAGCAGGAATAACCGGCTTCAAAAATAATATTTACAAAGCTGTAAATATTGAAATCTTGGACGAGTATACATCTGTTAAGAAGAAATTTTGTTATCCATCAGGTCTAATGCAGCTGAAATTGCGAATGCTTAGAACAATGTCAGAACCAGTTGTAACAGTTAGTTTATTTTCATACATAAGTTGTCATTATAGTAATTAGCCTTTTTTAGATATGCCAAGAAGAAATTCAAGATATGAGTGATCTGGAACTCCAAAATTACTTAAAAGAAGAGCTAGAGTTTGTTTGAGCAGTATTTATTAGAGATGGGCCGGGTAGTCAGTTTGGATCCGACACTTGTTTTAGGATTCGGCCGGGTACCGGATAATGACGGCCGGTAATTTTATTAGAGAAAAAAAAATCAACACCAACAATAACAATTTAATAAGTATAACAAAACGCCCAGGTGGTGAAAATTAGTAATTAAGATTGTTTTGGGATCGGTCGTTTGTCCTAATTAGTATTATTTGATTACTATACTAAATTATTTGTTATTTCGATATAGTTCTTGTGTTTACTTTTCTTCATGAACAAGAATACATTAGTGTGGCCGAACTCTTATATTTTCTGTCGCTTGTTGGTGTATCAAGTTTTGATTAACGATATTTTAGTATAATTTTGTCACCTTGCAGATTTTTAGTGTTTATAAACATTATAAGCTCCTTTCAATGTTTTTAACTTAACTCTCGTTAAAAATCCACCAATTAAGAATTGAAATTTCATTGGCTTAGTGTTTTTGAACGGGACTTAATGTGATATGGGACGTTGGTGAGGATAGTATTTTAATGGAAAACCCACCAAAATGAAGACATGAACCACAAAGTGGTTTAGTCAAGTACTAGCACAGCAAATGCCGGGCACTTGGTAGCACTATCCGGTGCATCTCTAAAATTTTTTACTTTATAATATTGTGATATTTCATTGCAATTAATAGACTGACGTATACATATATTTACAACTTTTGTCTCAATAATTAAAAAAAAAAAATAAATAATTTTTNGTGGTTTTTTTAATTTATAAAAATATAAATGGGTTATGAAGGTCGCTATGAAAATGTCTGTAATAAATTTTATTTACAGATGGACAACCAATTCTTAGTTTTCTACAAATAAACACTTTTTCAAGTAAGGTAACAATTAGGATTATTTTCATAAATTTAAAATAATAATGTAATTAACTTATTTTCTGTAGTTTTGTGTGCCCTGCCAAATAGTTGCCAAGATTGCTAGATCATCCTTTTCCATGCATTGATATTCATTTTGCAAAACATTTTCCCAGCAAGAAATATCTATTCATAATAATGGATCAATATTCCAGATTCTCAATTGTTTAAATCATCAAAACAATGTTTTGAGAAGATTCAAGCATGTTTTATGTTTTCAAAATGTTTGGTTTTTCATTCTATAAAATCAGACAATGGTCTTCCCGTTTAACAACATGGAATTGGGAAATTGTTTTAAAAGATTATTTTGGTTACACCATATTGGCCAGAAGGAAACAGGATGGTGAAGACAATGAAAAAGTTTATTTTGAAAACTTTAGTTATTAAATAAATAAGACTAATTTAAAATCCAAAAACTTGAATTTCTAATATATTTGTCATATATACAAAGAACCATCTGCTGGTCCTAAATAATGCAGAGATATTAATATAACATCGATAATGCTCCAAACTCCTAATCCTCCAAAACTGAATAGTTTACCAATACCTTCTTGCCAGTGACCTAAATAAAAACGATCTGCTCCAAAACCACCTAATGTTATGCTTAACAGTAATGCAGTAGACCACCTATAACCACCTGTCCAGTTACATGGAACATTCTTATTAAATGTTCTGTGTCCCAAACATAAAACATGATCTTTTACAGTACAGTTCGTGCGGTAGTAAAATTTTGGAGTATCTGCAGAATCACAATTTGCCTTCATTTCACACTTGTGCTCCCAGGGTTCTGTTTGGTAACAATACCTACATATATAGGTCTTTTGCATCTGATATCCATTTCCCTATAAAAATAAAAGTTTAAAAAAGAGATTGTGAAACACTATTCTTTTTTTACCTTGCACGTAACCACTGGCTTAGCATAGCATGTGGTATTTAGTATTTCCCCATAATTACAACTGTAGTTGAAGTCACACACAATGCAATCTGGACTTAGTTTATTGCAATCTATGTTCGATGGACAATGTAACACAGCATCTTGCTACAAAAGTATTCACATTAGTATCAAAAAAGGTTTGGAAAGGTACCGAAATAAAATTGTATATAAACAGAAGGACATGATCACAAAAGTGTTGTATTTTTCTATCAAAACGTAAGATACTTGAAAATAGTCGCAAAAATAATTTTTGAATTTTTTTAATTTCTGCATTTTCCTTCATAACTACAATGTTTTTCTTTCCGTACCCGCTACAATCCTGAACTAAACTATACTAAACCCGAACCAAAAATTAATTTAGTAAACGATAAATTGATATTTACACCTAAATTCTTTCCAGCTGTACGATCTACATCAGTAAAAGATGTATTTTTCTGGGTTTCCGTTTTTGTACTAAAAGTCATGTGATTATCCGCTAAAAATTGAGAAAACGTTTATTATTGTGTCGTATTAAATATTAGGAACGTACTTAATTCACTGTTTCTTATATTATTAATAATAAACACTCCAATAACTGACAGTATTTTTGGTATGCTAAAGTGTGTGCATCTCATTTTTATAATTGTTCCATTTATTAATTGAAAACAAACGTTTCTTTAAACAATCAGTCTTATTTCACTAGTTTGTCTTACGATATAACATTTAAATATATTACTGATATATTAGAAGAGATAGGTTATTTTCATGTTGTTTTTTTATGATATTCCGTCCTTAATTTGTCTATGGTCTTCAACCAATAATCAATAATGTCTTAACAGCTTTATTCCGCCTTGTTAGATCAGTTAGATCACGAGCATTGAAGTGGAGGGGAACATCTGTAGTCTAGTTCAATGATCACGAGTCAGTCAGATGTCTATGTGAAGTTGTAAAAATTTGTGGGTTTTTATTTGTTAGTTGATGATTTTCGAAGCAATTTTATCGTTTGTCGATAATTAGTTATTAACACTTCTATTAAATATTAGGAGAACAGAGGACTCGATGGAAGTCATTAAAAAATAGGCGAGATAGGTTGGTAGGACACCTCAGACATGAAGGTCTACTCAGAGACATTAGAGGCAGAAACAGGAGTTAAGAGGAGTAGAGATAGACCTAGATCAGATTGCTGTTTGCAAATAGTTAAGGATGTGGGATGTTCTAGTTTTAGGAAAATGCGAATATTAACTCAGGATAGGAAAGAGTGGAGGTGCGTGTGACGGTAAAAGGCAAAACATCCTTTATTTAAATAAAACAGCAGAATGTTTCAACAATAATATAATAAAACACAACTCGATAATTGTTTCAACCTATTTAATCATTTAGTTTAAGTAATAGGTCGTATTTTTTTTTTAATTAAATTATTGATGGTGTTTTATTAAAATATTCAATATGTTTCTTCTTATATGTACCTACGATAATCTTAATTTCCTGTGAAACATAAACAATAACATTACCCCAAAAAGCAGCTGATTTCTACCTACTGAAGGTGAATTTTTCTACGATCAGCTGGCAATAGTAATTAATTTGCTATTGTGCAGGGCCGGCATCAAAACTGTTATAATTTTATAATTTTTTATTTTGTTTCAAAAGTCAAAAGTGTTATAACATTTTATGTTCCAAATGTCCGTAGGAATCTGTGGTATAAATATTAATTATTATAACTGGGACACCCTATATATTTCTTTAATCTATGGTTCTTGTACATAGATTTCATGTCATAGACGAACTCCATGCACTTACACTTAACTATCGTATCGTAACTGAATTGAGGTTACGTTCTATTGTTATTATTATTATAATAATTCTATTAATAAGATAAAAATAAAAAAATACAGTTTTCAGATTTAGGTATTAAATAAACACAAAAAAATGAAAGAAAAAGAAAGGTGTCTGTCGTGTAAAATATTATCCGTTTCCGTTTTGGTAGGAATAGGAAGTTATCTTATTTTTGTTGGAAAGTCTCAACATTCTCTGTCTAGGATATCAATGTATGGACTAGGAACGGGTAGGTACAAATTTTAAACATATTCTAGACTGATTTTAATGCATTGATATATTTTTTAGGGATAATTGGCTTAGGCATAGGAGAAATATTTGATAAATCTCCGTTTCGAGAATCCTAAAACATACTCAATTCCCAAACCCCTACATTACTTTATTAGCACATAGGTTTTAATAAAAAAGAAGCTAAAATTATGTGATCTCCATAAATATTATTTCAAATTTTTTATATTGTATACTATATGAATGTATTTAGTACTAAGTGTTAAATAACTGCATTTGTATTTTAAAAAACACAATAATCATCCTTTATAAATATAGCATTTATTTTTAGTTAAGCAATGTTTTAATTTATACACCAACTTTGCCAAGAGCAGTATCAGTCTTAGGATTAGCAGTAATAGACTGCACTCCTACAATAAGTTCATTGGCTTTAGTTTGCAGATCTCTCAAATCGTGAATGTATAACAGTCTTAAAACTTTGACAGCTTTATTTAAAACTGCATCTCCTAAATCAAAACCCAAATTTGTATCTTGAAATGGAAAAGGGGTTCCCTAAAAATATATATATANACTAAGTATATATATATTAGTAATAAAAGTATTTCTCAATAAAGTTTTATGTAACTCCTTACTTTAATAACCACTAATTCTGGTTTTTGTAAGGCCTCGCGATTTAAACGATTACAGATGATTTTACTAAGAGCTTGTAATGTGATTAATGAATCAGGATGAATGGGGCAGTTTAACATCTGAGCAATTGTCTTAATGCCGTCGGAAAATTCTTTTGAACTAACTAAAACAAAAATGTTGAATTAAAACAATCCAAGTTGATTTCCATCAGTTTGTTAACATACAACATACTTACAATCTAAATGATCCAAAGGGTTATCAGCTACAACATTTGGAATTTTCTTTGATTTAATATTTTTAACTGTATGTTTTCCATATTTCTCTTCTAAAAATTAAAATAAATTTTTGAAATTATAAAATTTTTACATGTCATTAAATTAACTTCTTACTATTTTCTAAATATTCAGTTTTCAGGGCAAGCCCCAAGAACCAATCTAATTCTTCGTCTGCTATGTTATTAGATACTTGACAGTTAACATCATCTTTATACTTTTGATAAATTTTTCCCCAATCAGAAGCAGATATATCTGAAAGATTTTTTCTGTTTTCTGGCTTGTACATTTTTATTTTCTTGTCTTCTAACCATACTATTATTTTTCGGAATTCTTTTTCATCTAAACAGATTATTATAAATTCAGCATTGTTAATATACTAATATCGACATGGTTTCAAAAATGGAAAGTGTACTTATTGTAAATGTCTTAGATATTTTGCAATTTTCAACAAAACTATTGAGTTTTTTTTACCTTTTACATTAACTGTTTCAGGCTGCGGATAATTCAAAGCTGACAACTTCCTCTTGTACATAATGGAAATATATCGATCTCTAACAGATAACTTTCTCACTAAAAAACTGTTGTATGGTATATAATAGCGCTAATAAGTTGTGGTTATTATGCTGATCATTATTTATTAATCATATTATTATGTTTTCGTTGTGTTGGGCTCGTTGTGTTGTTGCCCATAGATAGAACATATACATGATTGTTGCGTATCGTTAATTATTGTCCACAGATAATTATTATTATCATTATCTATGATTAGTCTTACAACTACAGTCTGTCTATGATTACAGTATTAATGGACTGAAGTTGAGTTATAATACTTCGATGGTCGCGACTTCGGGTGGTTAAAATTCTAACTAGGATAAGGTAAGGTTGCTTTGTATCAGCTTATGGCTCATTTTGCCATGTGATAAATAATAATTAAGGTGAGAAATAAATTTATCATATTTATTATCAACTATATTACCAAAAACTATAAAACTGTCTTTTAAATTGATTTTAAATTTTAAATAATAGTCATCGCTCAGCTCAGCACAAGTTGTAATTGCAAGTACTCCCCCTTCAGCGACCTGGCTAGGTCGCAAATCGAAGTTTCTTCGCCTAGAATGTTGTTTAAGAGTAGGTGGAGTAGGTTTTCACCGCTGGTGTCTTCAGCCTTGAGGTAGGTGTCGTTGCCGTTGTGTCAACCACGATTGGCTCGGCTTGTTGTCCATCTTTTTCTTGATAAAGGCTGGTTTTATACGGTCAACTGAAATGTTTCGATTGATGCCTTTTACGTTAACTTTAACTAAAGCAAAAGTCATTTAGTCTTTCGATGATCTTATGCGGCCCTTCGTATGGTTGATTAAGTGGCTTCTTAGTACAAAAACATGTATACACGTATACAGAGTCTTTGGCATGAAAAATTGGGTTTTGTGGTGGCGAGCTGTGAGCTAGGATCTGACTTTTCTCATAGTTTGCCTTAGAAGTTCTAAGAATATTTGTGGATCCTGCGAAGGTTCCTCGTCGAACAAATATTAACAAAAGGAAAAATAATTCAAACGACTATATCACAAAACCCGACACCTAGGCCCAGAAATGGGGGAAAGTTTCTTACGTTTACCGAGCATTCAACTTTCCAATTTTTAGCGGTGAATTTGAAAATTGGCTTGAATTTCAAGATGACTTTGATTCTCTTATACATACTAATTCACGTTTATCGAATATTCAAAAATTCTATTATTTAATATCAGCTAAAGGCCGAAGCGTCACAAGCTATCAAATCGCTAAAGGTTTCTGCTAAAAATTATTTAGTTGCCTGGGATATTTCGAAGAAACGTTTTGAAAACAAAAAACTCATTGTTCAAAACAATATCAAGTCCCTTTTTAATTTAGAAACAATTCATAAAGATTCATACACATTCCTACCGGAGTTGCTAGACAGTATATTAAAAATAATTCAATCTCTAAAAAGTTATGATCAGTCAACGGCTGATGTATTACTTATTTACATAATTACTTCAAAAATTAATTATGAATTATTTAAGCCTGCAGATGACTTTCCTAAATTACAAGAGTTTTTAGATTTCTTGGAAACTCGTTGCCATATTCTTGGTTCCATTGAGGCCACAAGAGGTAGTTCAAATGTAAATCACTGTAGTAAATCTAATGCTTTTTAGTTTTAGTTTTCTCAAATCAAAAACACGAATGTACGCATGTGAGTACAATTAAAGCTTCTTTTATTATCCACAGCTAGCATTACGGTATTTAATATTCATGGAAATACTCATTACTGCAGGGCTCTCCTTGATCCTGGTTCACAATTCAGTTTCATTACAAACGATTTATGTAATCGATTGGTCTTACGTAAATCAAAATCAAATTTAGTCATCTCAGGCGTCAACCAATCCCTATCCAATCTAGAGGTAGTGTTAGACACAATTACAGCCTGTTTACCTGCAAGGTTCTTCAACCTAGGGGCTTAGAAATTCCAACAAATATTCAATTAGCCGGCCCCAAATGTAATATAAGCGGCAAAATTGATGTTCTATTAGGAGCTAATTTTTTCTAAGAGCTGTTATCCATTGGATAGCATTCCTTATATAAAAACAAATTTGTATCACAAAATACTAAATTAGGTTGGATTTTGGGAGGAAACTTTATTCTAAACAAAAATGATATTTCGCCAAACTTGCTAGCACATTTTAACATATGTATTACTGACGAAACGATTTTCATAGGAAAATAGAACAAGTTTGGGAGATAAATGATCGCGCCAATGAACTCAATAAATATTTTGACGATGAGATTCATTGTGAGGAGCATTTCAAAAATACTACAAAACGTATAAGTTCTGGCCGTTTCATAGTTAACATTCCATTTAAGAAAAACGTCAATGATTTAGGGCAGTCAAAAGATTTCGCTTGTTAAAACTCCCAAAATCAACGAAGAATATTCTAATTTCTTGGAGGAGTATGAGAAATTAGGTCATATAGCCCGAGTCGAAAGGGATAACATTATTACACCTCACTATTATCTACCTCACCATGTCGTTTTAAAGGAACCTAGCGAAACAACTGAACTTCGCGTTGTTTTCGATGACTTCGCGAAGACAACCTCCGGTATATCACTTAACGAAATTTACAGTTTAGGTAAAGGCAAACCTGTAGCTTCGCGAAGCAAAATTCTGTGTCTTAATCCGTTTTTGGACCCATCGGTTATTTTACAAGTTGGGGGTCGTTTAAGGCACTCTATCACTACAGAAAAAAGCACCCAATAATTTTAACTTCCCATCATCTGACCACTTTAATAATAAGAAACGAACATATTCGTTTATTACATTGCGGTGAAAATTAGAGATATGCCGACTATGACTTTGGCCGATTAGCTGACTAGCCGATTAGTCGGTTCTAAAGAATGTATAAATCGCTTATGTCAATAGTCATAAAAAAGATGTACACGCGTATATGTATATCAAAATAAAATAACGACAGATTAACAAAAGGGGTGCTATAAAGGAGGTAGAGGTTCTAAAGGTAGACTCAGAAGTAAACACACAATGTAGACAGCGAAAGAAATTTATACTATGTCTATATTGACTACCAAAAAGTCTATGCTAATGTTCCACACTCCTGGTTACTTCATGTACTTAAAATATATAAAATTAATGATAAAATAATTAATTTGTTACAACACATAATGCAAAAGTGGAGCAAAATACTTATTCTTAAAACAGAAACTAAACTAACTAACTATACCACGCTGTATTTTCCAAGGTGATTCATTGAGTCCTTAACGGTTCTGCTTAGCTTTGAACTCATTGTTATACGATATTCAAAAAAGTAAATACGGTAATGCAATGTAATTCTGATCCGACGGGACTTGAACCTTGACGAAACTTTTCTACAAACTAGAGTGGGTGGATCGGCTTGCAAGTTTCGATGATTTAGGGAGCCGGACCATAGGTTCAATCATAATGGAGGGGTTCTTAAAGAGAAACCAGACTAAGACAAGTCCCTGAAAGAGGGCAGCAGCTCTTTCAGTACTCAGGGTGGCAGAGATCACGAGGATCGGTATGGCACTCTGATGCCCAATACTGCGATGTGGAAAGCAACGGGAAACCACCACATTATGATCCCGAGAAGAATGTATTACACAATTTAATGGTGGTGTTCTCTAGGATAAAGCACTCCGGACGTAAACTAGTCTCCCATTCGGATGTCCGGGCGGGGACTACCTCGGGGGATGTCATCAATAAGTGCAATAGGGGTAGGTGCAATATTTCACGAGTAGGGGCGTGGAATGTTAGGACAATGAGGCAAGTAGAGAAATTGGAAAATTTAAAAATAGATTAGAATGAGATATAGTAGGTATTAGTGAAGTCCGTTGGCCCGAAGCTGGAGACTTCTGGAGTGGAGACTTTAGAATAATACATACAGGATCGGTGGAAGGTAACTCGGGGGAAGGAATTGTAATTCATAGGAAACTAGGGCAGAGTGTAGAAATTTATTTACAACAAATCGATAGGATAGCTATGGTTAAATTAAACTCGAAGCCGGTAAGAACGGTATTAGTGCAGGTTTACATGTCTATATCATCTTACAGTGATGAAGACGTAGAAACAGTTTATGCAGATATAGAAGACGTGTTAAGTTTGGTGATAGGGCAGGAACAGCAAGTAGTTGTAGGAGACTTCAACGCAGTAATAGGTAAAGTGGGTGCAATAGCAGGTTCTTTTGGATTAGGCAATAGAAATGATAGGGGAGATAGGCTGATAGAATTTTGCGATAAACATAACTTAACCGTCGCGAATACTTTATTCAACCATCACGTTAGGAGGCGCTGTACGTGGAAGATGCCAGGTGATTTAGGGAGATATCAGTTAGATTACATACTTGTTAGGCAAAGATTTAAAAATAAAATGGAGGACTGTAGGTGTTATCCAGGAGCAGATATAGTTAGCGATCATAACTTACTAGTTATAAAGACCAATGTTAAATTGAAAATTCTGAAAAAGAGGGAAGGTAGGAGATGTCTTGACTTAGAAAAGCTAAAATGTAAAGAAAACTCGTGATCGGCTAGGTACAGGGACAGACGAAATACTAAAAGCGGCGGGAGAAACGAATGAGAGGGATATAGAGACAGAATGGAACTGCATTAAAATGTGCCTAACGTCAGCAGCTGCAGATATTCGAGGTCTTAAACAAAACGAAAGTAGGAAACCCTGGATAACAAATAAAATTGCAGTATAATAGAAGAAAAGTGGAAACAGGACAGACGAAGAAGTGCAGAAAAGATATAAGGCTATAAAGTGGGAAATAATTAGGAAATGTAGAGCAGCTAAAGAACAGTGGATTGATAGGAGGTGTAAAGAAATAGAAGAAAAGTTTGAAGTAGGTAAAACCGATGGGGCTTATAATATAATTAAACAGAATTTTAGAGATGTAGGGTACAGTAGTAATAATATTGTAATGTTCGTGGGTTTAACAAATTAACTTTTAAGAAGAAAACTATTCATTTACACTAATTATTATTGAACTTAAAAACACTATTCAATTATTACTAAACTTAGGTAATTATTCTATTTATTTACACTATTACTGTTCACTATTCACTGTTCTATTTATTTCACTTCTATCACTGTCAATTTATTTCTTGATTCACTTCTGCAACGGTCAATTTATTTCTACTCTACTCCGGCGATCGTCTCTTCCTTTAAATACTCCCTTGCTTCCTTTCGGGAACATTCTCGAGCCGTTCGGAAAAGTTTTGTTTTCTTCAAACTGTTTAATTGCTTTCCCGGAATGCAGGTAGGACACACACGTTTACAGATACGGCGCACAGAAAGAAAGGCGCCCTCGGCTAGTCGGCGAATCGATAAGCCGCTCATACACACATATGCCATACATTTTCACATTCCGTTGCGCAGGATCATGCCGGAATCTGCAGTTCTCCGGAATTACATCGGAATCAACGGATATGTATTGGGCAATTTGGATCCACGTTACGCAGCCGAAGTGCGTGACATCATCATCAACCCACCGGCGACTGAACCATATGCCACCATCAAGGCTTGGCATCTTACAAGAGGCTCGCACCAAACAGTTGCTTGGACAGGAAGAAATTGGGGACAGAAAACCATCACAATTTCTGCGTCACCTCCGAAGCCTGGCTGGAAATTCAACTCCTGAGAACCTGCTGCGAACAATCTGCTCAGGTCGCCTTCCTCAAAGCCTTCAGACGGTCATAGCAACGATGAAAGACAAGCAGTTGGATGAAGTGGCCGAAATCGCCGATTACATCATGGAAGCAAGCCAAACACAGTCCATAATAGCAGCTACGGCCACGCCTACTCTACAGTGCGATTCCATCCAACAGCTGACCAACAAGGTACAAGCACTCCAAATGGACTTAAACCACATAAGACGACACATGGCGAGAAACTCGAGAACAAGATCTCGATCAATTTCAAGTGGTACTTCTTCACGAAAACGGTACAACAGCAACGACAGGACCAGTGGCCTTTGCTATTACCACAGCAAATTCCAGGACAAAGCACGGAAATGCATTCCTGCGTGTAGGAAGTCATCGGGAAACCAACCAGGAGCTCACTAATGGCGACAAGTGAGGTCCACACAGCGCAGCGTCGCCTATTTGTATCAGACAGAGTCACACACCAAAAATTTCTGGTCGACACCGGTGCTGATATCTGCGTGTATCCCAAGTCACTAATACCTGGGCCACGTCAGAAATCCACATTCACGCTACAAGCAGCAAACGGCACCAACATAGCGATCTATGGTACCATTGTTCTGTCTCTCAATTTAGGCCTACGAAGATGTTTACCATGGCGTTTTATCATAGCTGACGTCACCAAACCAATTATCGGTGCAGATTTTCTTGCACACTACCAATTGCTGGTAGACTTAAGCAACCAACGACTCCTGGATCGACTCACACACCTCACCACCTCTGGTCAACTAATCAACTGCAGCCAACCTTCCGTCACTTTCGTCACAGAAACGAAACCGACCACTTCTGCTTATCACGAGATACTTCAGCATTTTCCCTCATTAACTCGCCTGCATTCCTACGGAATATTGCTTAATCAAGCAAAATGCAATTTTGGTAAACGGGAAGTCTCTTTTCTAGGTTATTCTGTCTCGGCAAATGGAATACTCCCTTTACCCGACAGAGTAACAGCAATCTTCAATTTCCCCAAACCTACTACCGCAAAACAATTGCGACGATTCCTGGGTATGCTCAACTTCTACAGAAAGTTCCTGCCTAACGCTGCCCGCACTCATTCTGCTTTGAATGAACTTCTACTGGGGAAGATTAAAGGAAATGCACCACTACAGTGGAATCCCACAGCCGACGAGGCATTCAATTTAAGTAAGGAGCAACTAGCGCAGACTACTCTCCTGCACCATCCGCAACCAGATGCTACCATAGCAATTTTTTGTGACGCATCCGACCATCACTTGGGCGCTGCGTTACAACAATTCCACAATGGAACCTGGGAACCCCTTGCATTTTTTTCCTCTAAACTCTCGAACGTTGAAGCTAAATACAGCGCATTCGACCGAGAACTGCTCGCGATTTATCGCACAATTAAGCATTTCCGTCATTTTCTCGAAGCTCGTGACTTCATCATTTTTACAGATCACAAGCCCCTTACCTTTGCTTTCCGTCAGAACCCTGACAAATGCTCTCCCAGACAGTCACGGCACCTCAATTTCTTTAGCCAGTTCTCAACGAACATTCAACATATTTCTGGGAAAGATAACCTTATTGCCGACACACTCTGAGCAGGAATCCGACAGGGAACTTCAAAAATATCTCAACTCTAACCAATCCCTACAACTCAAGCGGATTCACATTCCCGGCACAAACAAAGCAGTATCTATCCAGAGACTAAAACCAACATATATCACAGATGAACAACATCCTCAACCTATATCTACAAAGAAGAAAATGGACGATCGACCAGCACATTCAACAACCCGGTCCGGTCGTCGAGTACATTTCCCAAGTTATATCCGAACAGGTTAAACCACATCGTTCCTCACTGGAAGGGGGGTCCTGTGGGAACACTCGGTATAGCAATAAACAATTCAAATGTGTAATAATTAAAGTTCATCATTTCTGCCGACTTAGTAAAATCGCGGTACAGTGCGACTAACTAGGTCATAGACATTTACACACACATATGTAAACTGCTGAAATAACTATTGCCATTAAACTAATGTAAATAATTTTTATATAAATAGCTTGTAAAGAATTGAATAAATCAGTCTAACCCCAGGCTCGCCATTATTAGATACTGCAACAGTATCAACTCCTGAATACCGCAAGGTATCAACCATCGGATGCT